CCGAAAAACAACCGTTTACCGTGTCACAGTGGTAATGCCAATTGGAAATCGGGATTTTTCGATAAGAATGTCAAGGCAGTTTATTGTCCACTCTTACAGTACATCATTTTCGGAGAAGCATGGATTGGTTTTTGTATGTAGCTGTTAGTGCTTAGTGGGTCTTGCCCACCATCTTACTACTGCTTACGGCAAAGTCAGGCATATTATTTAAATGGGTTTCCCAGTGTCTACAATGAAGTGAGCTCAAGACAAAAGTTGTTTCTCCATTTTCTAGCCTTAATCCAAAGGACAAACGGAATCTCTACTTTTTCACTGTTCAAGCGGAAGACTATTCAATATTCTTTCCATGCGAACGTTCGCGAACTGAGTACGTAACACAACTGATGCGCATGTATTCCTATACGTGGATGCATCTGATTGATTTCTAAATCTTTTTTAGCCACTTTTCTGGTGTGATTTTGCCATTTAAAGTGTAGATAAAAATCAACTCCATAAGTATTGCTCACGGTGGAGCTTCTTGAGCTTAGGCTCTATAATTGCCTATTTTGTTGTTTATGCTTGCAAATGTGGTGGTTTTTAGTAATATGTTCAACTTTTAATCCGACTGGCTTCCTCACTTAGCTTTCTGGCCGCCATTCGAGCCTCGCTCTCGGAGCATGATAATTACCTTGTTGATGAACACGAAGATGACGAACCGATCAAGGTATCTCCATACTCTACCAGTTTATTATTTTCAAAAGCAATGCTTTTCTAAGGAACTCTTCTTTTCACTTACCAGTAGTGTGACTAATAAATATTTGGTTGATCCATAAAGGTCTATTTCGATAACATTTTGCACTTAATCACTACTTTTCCTTAGCTCTTATTAATGCCGAGAAATATTAATTCCTGATAGTGTCTTCGCAGTGGGCTTTAATTTTGCCATTCTAATAATCCTTACTTTAAATCCTTAACGCATTGGACCTTTCTTTAGTTGTGAGTTTTGGCTTCTTTATCGCAATCCATCTTGAGTTTGCTAACCCATTCTTCTCATTTGACGACAAATTGGTCCTCACTTCTTTGTTTTGTTGTCACAGATGATCTTTTTACATTTTTATATGTTTTAAGTGTTTCATTCTGACACGAGTCTATAACATTTTTCGCATTAGTTATCAGCACTTCCCACCAGTCCCTTACATTCAAAGTTGAACAGCTTAGTGAAGATGTTTCGAAGAAGCTTACGATTAATATCGAGTTGCCACACACAAGTAGCAGAAAATTCATACTGAGCTAACTACAAAGTCACTGTTTGAAACACGAAAGTCGTGCTTAGAGCTTTCAACGCACCATCGTCTCACACTACTTTTCTCACAATTTTGTCGCCTAAAAAGTCCGACTGCAGGTGGTCTGATTGCCATAAATACCTCGCGCTTCATTCGATACTATAATATTGAAACCTTAGTTCGTCTATGAATTTGATGAAAGCGGCCATCCCATCGTCCTTGGTTCGGGGAGCTTTGGAACAGTCTATGCCGGTCGAGAGCTTAGCAGAGAAGTCAAAATCGCCATTAAGGAGATTAAAAACATTCCTCAGAAGTAAGTTACTGTGATAAAACTTGTTATTTACGGCAGGCTTTAACACTTACTTCAACTGTTTTACAGAGATCTTCAACCATTGATTGAAGAAATTAATCTACAATCGCGTCTCAATCATAATAATATTGTCTGTTACCTCGGCTCAGTGTATGAAGATGGAGTCCTAAAGATTCTCATGGAGCATGTCCCTGGAGGTAAATTGCATTTCAAACTTCGTGCAATTCAAAGCATGCGCATTTTTTGTCTTCGTTCCCATTAATAACTAATAATAATACTATTTTAACACAAACTCCCCACTTTAGCGGATAATACTGTTCTCAATTGAGATATGTCTAGCTATTCGCAATGATTTATTCCTGAAAAATGAGGTATTGTCAGAGTATAAAAATAACTGGAATAAAACCAACCGTAAGCTGTATCGGTTTTAAGCTGTAACTCACGGTTCGCTTGCCTTTTAGTTGCATTTTTTGTTATGCCCGATTAAAATTTTTCCCCCCATCATCTTTCAAGGATCCCTTAGCTTTCTCCTAAAGAAAATTGGAGGTTTAAGGGACGAAACGGTTTCGCACTACTCCAGCCAAATCCTCGAGGGTTTACGCTACTTGGTAGGAATGATATGTGATAAGGCACTTAACATTCCAGTCAACGTCTTGTTCAAAAGTCTCATGTAATCTACCCATTTTCGCATGATTTTATAACGAATCCTAAGCTGCTTGAAACTGAGTTTATCAAAATCTGTCACTTCATGGCAATGTTTCGTGCATTGAATTCAAGCTTCTTCTCAATAATACTTTAATTTTTATGCACCATGCTTATTGAACACTTTTCTGTATTCATGAAGAGCTCTCCATGTAATCAACTACTAATACTTCGAGCTTGGATTCTACTGTATTGTTGGGCTGCGTTTCCTTCGTTCATAGCTAAATTCGGTCTAATTGATTCATGATAAAAATTTATCCAAACAGCCCAGATAACGTCCATGCAAGGATATTGTGTTCACGTTAAGTCTCTTAATCCCATTTGAAGTAGTTAGGTATCCTCTTGTTATTTGTGTTGAGTTTTAAACCTTCGATCACGAAACGACCAATGCATCAAAATATTTTTAGCATTGGACTTAATGGCGCTAAATTGCGGTTGAATTTCACGTCGGATCCTAACTAGCACATCAAATGTCGTGTTTCGCTTTAACCAACTTCTATGTGCTCATTTTAGCACGCCAGCAAAATTGTGCACCGAGACATTAAAGGTGACAACATCTTGGTTAATATGTACAGAGGGGAATTGAAAATAGCCGATTTTGGCGCCTCAAAGCGACTCGGCGGTCTCATTAGGAAGGCTGGCACAGTCACAGGTATGCTTTCAAGTCAAACTCGTACATTCATTCCACCTACATGGGGCAGAACCCATTTTTGCTATTTATGCGACTAGTTAATTTTGTCAACATTTGCGTCTATCAAGTAATCCACTTTCAAAAGTTTATCAATGCCTGCTACGCTGCGTGCTCTTCAAAAATCACGTCAATCAGCTGTTATATCCTGTACATACCTGAAAAGCCAGAAGCTTACTCAACATCGTACGCACGCACACACCTTAATCCGTCAGCGTCCCACCTAGCTAACCACTGTGAGCCGTCACTATGCTACTGTATGACATTGCAGTCATTCAATACAGCGCGTTGCCAGCTCCCCTAAAATTCACATATTTGGTGAAATTTGTCTTTGCCTGGATATATTTTCGGCTGCGCAGATATTTCAGTAATCCTTTGTCGAAAATAATGAGTTCTTTATTGCACTAGAACTTCAGTCTGCAATAATTTGTGTCTATATCTCAGGCACCATGCGCTTTATGGCTCCGGAGCTCATAAATGCCTCAAAAGATGGTTACGGTTATCCTGCTGACATATGGAGTTTCGGTTGTACAGTTGTGGAAATGGTGACAGGCAAACTTCCCTATCATGAGGTATGAGTTGGCAGTGCTTTCATCATCCCCTTGCGTACATTAAGATGGGCTTACAAGAGCTTTGAATTCGCTTTGTTCTACATAGCTTGATGCGTTCGCAGCTTTTTATCGAGCGGGCTACTACAGCGCTCATCCCGACATTCCTGAAGAGCTGCCAGAACCTTGCAAAGCATTTATCAAACGCTGCTTTGAAATCGATCCGGAGAAGCGAGCAAGTGCTGACGAACTTCTCGCCGATCCTTTCATTCTCATGTAAGTTTATTTTACAAACGCTGCGGTGGGCTCTTTCTCTCTTTCACTCCAAAATCAAAACCCCACTGCGGGCCGTTTGTCTGTTGTGCTGCGTCTGGCAAATGCTCTGTTGACGCGCGCATATGTGACGCGGTAGTTACTCACTCTATCACAATCGCATTTAACACTGCCAGCGATAAAGTTTGGAAATGGTCACACGTCTGCACGGGCGTCAGCCTTTTGATCCCTAGTTTAAGTGATTAATTTTGTTAATTGTTTGGGCTTTTATTTGATCATACTCTGGTTCACCGATGTCAGCAAAGG